TTTTTTTTTTTTTTTGTTTTTTTACAGGTATTCGTTATTGTCAACTATTTAAATTAAAAGAAAAAATGTTTTTGTTTGCAATTAATTAGTTGGACAATAATCTTTTGTTGTTTTGCAGCCAAAATTGCCAAAAGCGATAGTGTTGGCAGATGACATTGAATTAGCTGCAAAACGAATATTGTCACGGCATCAAAATGAAAATTATGCTAAATATATATTGGTTATATCTGATTTTGACCTATACATTCCTGCAAATATGAGCGAAGTGCTAAAAGACTTGTTAGAGACTAAACTATAATTTTTTTTTTCTTTTATAAACTATTTTTGTTGTTGTTGTTGCTAATTTTTGAAGCAAAAAACAAAAACTGCTGAATTAATTTTGAAGCACAAATGATTGATTCACTTACAGAACTGATGCTATTTTCAACTAATGTTTTGTCACAATACAGCTAAGATTTGAATAAATTCTGTGAAAAAGTTTAGGTTTTTGCTTAATAGGAGATGTTAATATATTCATAGTATTAACAAAAAAAAAAAAAAACAATTTTTTTAACAAACATCTGCACACAAATTGTTATGATAAAATTTATACCTTTCTGAAAAGTAAAGCTTCTTTTTTTTTCAGAATGGACATTAACAATATTCGATTTGAAGCATTACAGTTTGATGAATATTATGATGAAGATAAATCGTCATATCAAAGCGATGAAAACTACTTTGAAATGATCACTTCAAATGCACATTACATTGAGGTTAATCTGCTTACATTTTAGCTATATCGTTATCTGTTTTCGTTGTTTATTTTTTTGAAAGGTTACAGCATTTTTTAACTTATCTAAACTATAGGAATGTTCTATTCTACAAAAAAAAAACCAAGAATTTTGCTAATTAATTGGTACTTGTTACATATAAGTTGTAAAAAAAATAGATAACTGAGAATTATTTGTGCTAGAAAAAAAAAAACTAAAAAGATTATGTCTTCTAATTTTTCTTCAGTTTTTTTTTTTTTCTTCGACTTATTACATTATCAATTTATTAGAATTAAAGCATTAAATATAGTCAAATAAACTTTACTGTGAAATACTTAATAACAACAACAACAACAGGGATTGAAACTTTTTTAATTTTACAAAAAATACAGTCTTTTTCTTCAAACTAAGTTTACTACATTAAAAAAAATGTGTGTTAACAAGTAAAATAGAAACTTACTTTTTTTTATAAGTTTTTTTTTTCTGTTACTAATTTTCCTGCTTACTGTTTAGGTGGATTCTGTAGATTCGCTTTATGCAGCAAAATTGGCAATCAAATTGTATCCGTGTATTCTGGAAGAAACCGAAGAAGCATTTGCATTAGCACCAACAGAACACAGTTCTGCAAAACCGTTATGGCTTTGGAGTTTGTGCACATTTTTTCAAATTCTTTGAGTAGAACAATTCTCAGACAACAATCAGCGATTTCTAAATTAAACTTTTCCAGAAACCGATACTTTTATAGATGCATAAGATCATTGCAGATGTTGCATTGTTTCTTCGGTTTTTTTTTTTTGATAAATAATGTTAAAACAAAAAATACTTTATACGTATGCATCAACAATAAGAAGTTTTAGAAATTTACAAATTGCTATAGAGTGAGAAGTTGTTTGGGTCAGTTGGTCAAAAATTGAAATAAAACATTAAATGTTTGGTGCTTTTTTCTTTTAAAAATTTTTATCATTTAGTTCTTCTAATACCGTTTTCGTTATTAGCCATACTGCTCACCTATTTTGTGTGGAAAAAATATCTACGAAATGCACAAAACAGAATTGGAATATCTGACAAAGTTAGTGCACTACCAAATGACTATCGTACACTTGAGTAAGCATATTTTCCAGTATTTAATTCAAAACGCCTGTCATTTGCCTACTATACGCTATATTGTTTGTAAACATAGCTTTAAACTAATTAGCCTTTAATAAATTCTCAAGTTTAAACTTGACCAAAATAAAATTGCAAAACTGCAGGTAAAATTTTTGTTGT